TTTCTTTCTTTCTCTTTCTTTCTCTCTCTTTCCTTCTTTCTTTTTTCTTTCTTTCTTTCTTTCTTTCTTTCTTTCTTTCTTTCTTTCTTTCTTTCTCTCTCTTTCTTTCTCTCTCTTTCCTTCTTTCTTTCTTCCTTCCTTTCTTCCTTCCTTTCTTTCTTTCTTTCTTTCTTTCTTTCTTTCTTTCTTTCTTTCTTTCTTTCTTTCTTTTTATTTTTCAAGACAGTTTCACTATGTAGCTCTGGCTGTCCTGGAATTCACTGTGTAGACCAGGCTGACCTAGAACTCACAGAGGTCTGCTTGCCTCTGCCTCCCAAGTACTGGGGTTAAAGTCATGCATTGCTATGCCCATCCTCATGCATTTGTTCAACTAATTAAAAAGAACTTTAGTGCATCCTAGGATGTGAGTTGTAGACTAGAGAGATCAAGAGACAATTCAGCGCTAGCCTTTGTTTTTAGGGTAAGCTATGTTAGTGGATAGAAGAATACACAGCACTTGTCTTACGGGGAGTGTGTCAAAGAAAGAAATGAGATGTGAGAGAACATTTCTTTTCTCCCTAAATGGGCCTGAAAACCTTTTAGTGATCTTGGCTCCAGCTCCCACATGCAAGGTTCTCATGCACTTAATGAGCAAGTTATTTGAACAAATTTTTCCCACTTTCCATTTTCACAATTGCTGTGGAAAGTGAAATATGACCACAAATTCTTTGACAGTCTTCCCACTGAAAATGGAGGTATATTCCTTTCTTCTGGACTGCCTGCAAAAGCAATGTTGGTCTAGGGTTATGAAACCAGGTCCCAGGAAGCCTTGAGCTCTTCCAGAATCCAGCTGCCACTCTGTGGAGCAAAGTTCATATGTCCAGATTCCCATCAGAATGGGTTTCCAGAGGACTCCCAGCATCAACTAACTGTCGTGAAGATGAATGTTATCAGAGAAAGAAACAAGGAAAGGAACAAAGAGGAATTTTGGGTTCTGCTGTAAGGCATGCTGGGGATAAGATGGCTACAACATGATTACAGTTTTACTTGAACACAGTAGACAAGTGCTCTACCACTAAGCTATTCCCCAGTCCTTTTACTTTTTAAATTTTTCAGATAAGTTCTCACTAAGTTGCCGAAGCTTGCCTTGAGCCTACAATCCTCCTGCATCAGCCTCCCAAATAGTTAGGATCACAGGCCCCAAACACCAGGTCCAACTTGAGTTCTACTTCTGAATCATTTGTTAGGCATCTGGGCCACTTCTTGAGTCTAAGCTTGAAGGGATAAGGTTCACAAGCTAAAAGAGGATGTTCCTAGACAGTTCAAGTTTCATCATCATGGAATAGGTGTCGATCTATGAAGCACTTGGTCAGAGTCAGTACCTATGTTTACTGTTTTCAGGAATTTCCCACTGAATAGCCCACTCAACATTTACTAAACTAACTGGTGGTTTGAATGAGAATGCCCCTCCACCCTCAAGTAGGCTCATACATTTGAATATTTGATTCCCAGCTGGTGGGCTGTTTGGGAAGGATTAAGAGATGTGGCCTTGTTGGAAAAGGTGTGTCCCTGGGGTGGGCTTTGAGGTTTAAAAAGTCCTGAGGCTCAGTCTCTCCTCTCCGCTGTGTGCTTGTGCCTCAGATATAAGCTCAGCAACTCCTTCAGCACCATGCTTGCCTGCTGCCTTGCTCCCTGCCATGATGGTCATGGACTCACCCTCTGAAACTGTCAACAAGCCCCACTTAAATGCCTTAGTCACGGTGTCTCTTCACAGCAATAGAACAGTAACTAAGACAATAGTAGATACTATTGTTTTTTTTCATGTTATCAATGGAGAAACCAATATCCAAGGAACCCCAAAGTGCTTTCCCAAAAAAATCACACTACTGGAAGCCACCAAGACAACATTCCAATCCAGGTATACCTAGCTCCTGTTTTCCCCCAAATAACAATGCCTCATTAAGTCTTGGTAGAAACTAAGTGCCTACCATCACCACTACCTCTGTCTGCTGCAGCTTCTAGCCATGCTGTCTCCACAAGGTTGTACAATGATATCTTCTGCAAGAACCCTGACTGCTCTATATCTACAGAATACAACACCCTGTTGAAGTATCACTCCGTTTGAAAATCACTTGAACATACTAAGACAAGAGAAGGGAACTGGAAGTCCTCACTCTCTGGGCTCAGAAGCAACTGTTTTACTTTTCTTAGGAACAGCTGTAGA